ACACAGTATAACAATATACTTTGGCCAATATTGTTCCCTGGTATTTCTACTTTCCCTCCCCTCATTCTTCCCTTAGTCCCTTTCCTCTACTCTACTGATATCCCTTTGCTTTTCATAAGTACCTCCATCACACACACATCTTTCTTTTCCTTTTTCCTCTCTAGCTTCTGTGAGAAAACATATGACCATTGACCTCTGAGTTTGGCTTATGTTACTTAACATAACATTCTCACATTCCATTCATTTTCCTGAAAATGACACAATTTCATTTTTCTTTGTGGCTGAATAAAACTCCATTGTGCATATGTCACATTTTCTTCATTCATTCCTCCATTGACAGATACCTAGGCTGGTATAATTTGGCTAATGTGAGTTGTGATGCTATAAACATGAGTATGCATATGTCACTATAGTATGATAACTTTAATTCTTTAGGATAAATACCTAGAAGTGACAAGGCTGGGTCATGTCATATGGTGATTTCATTTCTAGTCTTTTGAAGAAACTCCATATTGATTTCCATAGTGCTTGTACTAATTTACAGTCCCACCAACATTGTAAAAGTGTTCTGGTTGTTCCACATCCTTTTCACTATTCACTTTAGTTTGTATTCTCAATGTCAGCCATCCTAACTGGTTACATGGTTATTTTATAACTTATCTCAGACCATGTTATTCATGGTCCTCACTTCTTCCACTTCTTTGTGCCAAAAGTAATAGAACTTGAATAGTATTAATAAATTTTCTACTTTTGTTTATTTTAGATATTTTCTGTTTTTCTTTTAATAGACTTTGGTCATTTCTTTGTAACAAAGCGCAACTATACATCCACTCAATTCACTTCCTTTCTGCTGACTGGTGTCCCTGGATTAGAAGACTTTCAAATTTGGATCTCCATCCCTTTCAGCTTCATGTACCTCTTGGCTGTGATAGGCAATGGCCTAGTTATTGCAGTGGTGGCCCGTGACAGGAGCCTCCATGAACCCATGTATCTTTTCCTGACCATGCTGGCACTCAATGATGTCCTCCTTTGTACTGTCACAGTGCCTAAAATGCTTCTCATCTTCTGGCAAGGCCCCTCCCTGTCAACATTTGCTGCCTGCCTCACACAAATGTTCTTCGTTCATGCTCTGTTCCTCTCTGAATCTGCCATTTTACTGGCCATGGCTTTTGATCGTTATGTGGCTATCTGTGCACCACTCCATTATGCAACTCTGCTTACAGGTTCTCTCATTGGCAAGGTGGGTCTGGCTCTGGTGGCTCGGAGTGTGGTTGTTGTCATCCCCGGTGTCCTCCTCATTCTCCGGCTACATTTCTGCAGGAGCAATGTTATTCACCATACATACTGTGAGAACATGGGCATTGCCAAATTGGCCTGCAATAGCTTTACCCTTAATAGCATTTATGGACTCACTGCAGCTCTTCTTACCACAGGGCTGGACTGTATCCTTATCTCCCTCTCCTACTGGCTAATCTTGAGAACAGTCTTTCAATTGCCTTCAAGGGAAGCTCGGAAAAAGGCCTTTGGAACCTGTGGAGCTCATATATGTGTCATCCTGATATTCTATACTCTGGCTTTCTTTTCCTTCTTTACCCATCGCTTTGGGCACCATGTGCCCAGGCATGCCCTTATCCTCCTGGCAAACCTCTATCTATTGGTGCCACCTACCATGAACCCCATTGTTTATGGGGTAAAGACCAAAGAGGTAAGGATACGAGTACTGGCACTTGGTACCTAACCAAATTTATGTAAGAGTAATGAAACAAGGACCGGGGGACTCTAGAATGGATAATCAAACTAAAATATAAAATCTGAATCAATCAGGGCATATCTATCCTAGATCACCTAAATATTGGTTAGAGCCTAAAGTATTCATATTTACAAATGCTATCTTCCTAAGATGGAGTAAGTAAGAAGTTTACAGGGAATTTAGACACCATCAAGGAGTATATCAATAAATTAAGGAAATTGGAAAAATGTCAGAATAACAGAGTAGGGGAATTAAATACCACTTTTGCAGTACATATGCTTCTTCTCTATCTATTTTCCAAGAATAAGATAAAGTGAAAACTCCATGAAGTAAGGATTACTTCTGATCTAAGTTTCACTATTATATTAACAATACCCAGAATATAAAAGTAATTTAATAAACAGTTGCAGAGTAAACATCTCAATTAATCAAATAATAAATACATAAATAGCAAATTTCCTGTTAGACCCTCATAAATAGAACCTGCATGTAAAATTCTTCTTTTTATTTTCTCTCTAAAAAAATTCTTTTAATTTCCAGAAAATATATATTTCTTATCTCCTTTGGTAAAATAAATATTTGTAACATTATTCAACAATATGAGAAAAAATTTCTCCTAGATAAAAATTCATATACAAATGAGATATATCCTCAATCATACTATTGGAATTCTAAGCAGGAACAGGCAGGCTTCCCATGTTAGAAGCATTGCTTACCAGAGGACTGGACACCAGCCTTCAGTAAGTTTTCAATGGCAAGATAACATTTCTGACCTTAATCCACAATGCTATGACATGACCATCTACTTCTTTATTTAATCATATGTATTCAATCACTCTTCTCTTCACCAAATGTATTTTGCTAGGAATTATTATCTTAATTTTGACAATATATATTTTTAAATGCTTTTGTTGAGATAAATTTCATGAACATAATGTAATTCTAACACCAAATTATAATACTTACCACAGAAGATGGTAATTTACAAATCCCCAAATTTTGATAATCAATGTAAATATCCATGCTAAAAGAGTTTTACTTGCATGTAAATTTAAAAATATAGACTCTAAGATTTTAAATGTATTTTTCTTTTTTTATTAAATTATTTGTTTATTCTAATTAGTTATATGTGATGTCAGAATGCAATTCATTTCATATTATAGAGAGAGAGCACAATTTTTCAAGTCTCTGGTTGTACACAAAGTATTTTCACACCATTTGTGTCTTCACATATGCACTTAGGATAATGATGTTCAACTCATTCCACAGTCTTTCCTATCCCTGTGCCCTTTCCCTCCTCTTTGCCCTATCTAAAGTTCCTCCATTCCTCCCATGCTCCCCCATTCCCATTATGAGTCAACATCCTCATATCAAAGAAAACATTTGACCTTTGGTTTTTTGGGATTGACATACTTCACTTAGCATTATATTCTTCAACTGCAGCCATTTATCTGCAAATGCCATGATCTTATTCTCTTTTAATTCTGAGTAATATTCAACTGTTTATATATACCAAAGTTTCCCTATCCATGCTTAAATGTATTTTTTCAACAAAAAGATAAATAGTGTATTTTGAATCATAGTCACTAAGAAAAGTATGTTTAATATTCAGAAATGTAAAATGTAGTTTGCATTTTAAAGTCTTATTTCAAAGATGATTATATATAGTTGAATATTACTTGTATGAATGATAATAATGTTCAGTTTCTCAAAATTTTCTTAAATTAATTTTTAATTATTTATTTATCCTATCAAGAGAATCATCTCACTCTGATGTTTCTATTTCTTGCATTATTCTTAGTTGGTATTTCTTTGGTCAAGGTGAATGTGCTGAAAGAATGTGGTAATGAGATGTAAATTCAGGAAAGGGGTAAATAAATACTATTGGGAACAGACATGGTTGAATCAAAACCAGGGAACAAACAAAAGTTCATGGATTTTCCAGGAATGCTTTATGTACTTGTAATTTGCAGTACTAATTACACATTTCTAAGATCAATTTTATTGTATGAAATGAGACTTCATATCAGCTCCAGGATTTAAAAAAATACATATACATACAAGTCCTTCTTTGTTCAATGATTGGTTTATTTCTTAATATTTATGCACCCAGTATTGCTAAGTACCTCTTTTACACCAAGTATAGTCTAATTCTTACAGATCCTGTGTAATTGTAGTTAGAATAAAATACATTATATTATATTAAGACCAACATCAATATTAGAAGTAATAAAATAAAACATGCCTAAAGTCTTCCTTTCCTTCTTGGTTTATTTTACTCCTTCAGCCATTGTATACATGTGAATTAAGACAATTCAATTAACTTTGCAAGTATTATAATGCAATCTTATACACAAGCATGTCTGGTCTATTATAAAGATATAAGAAAACAATTTTCTGTTTTGAAAAGAGATCTGGGTAAAACTTGTCTAGAATTTTGTATTTCTTGCTACCACACACTTGTAAATAGTTATACCTCACTGCATTATCTTTTTATATTTAAAAGTATAATTTAACCTAAATTATTATTAAAATACAGTATAACCATGGTTTATAGTTAGTAATTTCAAATGATACAGCCTGGGAGCTTTAAAATTTCTAAGTCTAATATTTCTACAAGATTAAAGTTATTATCACAAAATTAGATAAAATAAACATGGGAGATGCCCTTTGTTTTCCTGAAGAAACCAAATTTTCCCAGATAAGGAAGATCATACATATTAATGTTTAAAAGATGATTCTGATATACTGTGATGGTTGATAACTTCTGCTTTGATCCAAAATATATTTTTGGATCAAGATGTTAACATCTGTAAGAAAGAAAATAAACATATATACAAAAACAATAATATAACAGAAAAGGAAGTTAAAATTTTATGCCAAATGTTATAGAATAATACAAATCAAAGAAATGAGTTTTGAAAATTCAAGGAAAATTTCATAGGTAAATCAATACCTTGGGTAAAGGTTAAGATTAAAAATGGAAGATGGGAGGAAATGATTTAAAACACATCCTCTGCAAAATATTCATAATTAAAGGGTTTTTATGAAGCATGTGTTAGGTCAGGCTGTCTAATCCTAGTGAATGTCAACTTTCTCTTCTATAGCTCTTTTTTCATGCTTTGTTAGATTTTCTTTTATGCTTTCAGTAGTCTTTTGTTGACAAGGTTGGTTCCAACATACCTAGAGCAGATAATTAGCCAGGAGTTCTTATCATTAGTGCTGATGCGATTGTTACCTTGAGGACATTCTACATTGAAGAAAAGATTTTGTGGGGGAGAATCAAATGGAGGACTCCTTGGCGGATCTGTTTGGTTTTTACACTGTAGATGATTGGGTTGAGCACAGGTGGGACCATTAAGTAGATATGCGCCATAAAGATGTGTGTGAAGGGAGAGGAATGTTTGGCAAAACGATGGACAATAGATAAGCCTATCATGGGCACATAGAGAATGAGCACAGCACAGATGTGGGACGCACACGTGTTAAGAGCCTTAAGCCTCCCCTCATGGGATGCAATCCTCAACACTGAATGAAGGATGAAGACATAAGAAACTAAAATACCCAGAGAGTCCATGCCCCACAGCATGGTAATCACAACCAACCCATATATGACATTAAACTTGGTGTCAGCACAGGCGAGGCGGATGATGTCCTGGTGCAGACAGTAGGAATGAGAAAGAACATGGGAGTGGCAGAAGGGAAAGAAGGCCAAACGGGTCAGAAGTGGAATGAGTGGAAGAGCACTTCTGAGCAGGGCTGCAATTCCAATCTTGGCAATAAGCTTTGGGGTGAGAATAGTAGCATATTGCAGGGGGTGACAGATAGCTACATACCGGTCAAGGGCCATGGCCAAGAGCACAGATGATTCAGTGAAGGAGAAAGTATGAATCAAAAACATTTGGATGACACAGATATTGAACGGGATCTCCTTGGAAATGGACCACAACACCCTTAAGAGTGATATCATTGTGGGCAGGGACATGCCCATGTCACTGAGGGAGAGCATGGCCAGGAAGTAATACATGGGCTCATGGAGCCTGGGATCTGTCCGGACAATATGCAGGATGATGCAGTTGCCTGTTATTCCAACAAGGTGGAAGAGGCAGAAGGGGATGGAAATCCAATGGTGGAATTCTTCATAGCCAGGGATCCCTGTGAAAAAGAAAGTGGAGGACAGGGTACTGGTAGAGTTTGATGCTCCCATAGGTCTGACTTTTAAGCCACAACCCAATTCCACAAACACTCCAATGGGTAAAGCATTGATAAGACCAGAATTTGCATCATGGAAAACTGAGGAAATAAAAAGAAGAAAACAAAACTTCAGTCCTTACCTCTAATCACACTTTAACCCATCCCCAAATTTCTGCTTCATTTTTATTCATATCATTGCCAGTATTCTCAGTTAAGTACAATATTCACGTTAGAATCCCTAGGACCTTCACTTATGCCTCCCAAATGAAAAGCCATTCAATATCCCCTCTAAATGGTGATGATCTTCCAAAAACACTTTCCAAACAGAGCAGCATACATGAAAAATTCTATAACATATTTTTAATTTTATAATGTATTTAGGAGATTTCTTGGCCAGGATGCTTGTAATAATACATTAGCCATATTTAATGACTGCTGCACTGGTTTAAATTAAATTCCTTCATCTGCCTAAAATTGATATTTTCTTTCACAATGTTAGAAAAACAGGCAAGGTACATTTACAGAATTCAAGCAAGTATGAGACAGAATGAATCCTAATCTTTTTCTTAATTAATTAATTAATTTATTCTAATTTATTATATATGATTCCTATTCTTATCTACCCACAATGATGAGATTAATGACACAGTCTAGGCCTCTCCAGACAACTGACTTTAATATCTCTTTGGTTTTGCCTGGTCATCCCCAAGAGCTAACAAGGGCAGTAAGACTCAATGTAAATAATATATAAATTTCAAAGAAAATGTTATAGTAAAATATAAAGTATACAATTTAAAATAGAATTGACTTTCACTCTGATTTTTAAAAATTTCAGAATCTATTTCCTTTTATTTCCTATTCAGAACTCTGAGACTTGTTTAAAAACTTATAATTTAAGGAAAAATATAGAGAAAATAACAGAAATATTTACTTACATTAAAGCCCAAATGAGTCTATCACTCTCTGACATTGACATTAAATCTTTTGTCAAATGATTTTTTGAGAAAATATTTTCCCCATTTCTATGGTCAAAAAATAAAACTAAGAATAAAAAATGTCTGAAGTAGAAAAGAGAACTGTCTCTTCATACCATACTCTTGTGTATCATTCCCACATATCCATGTTTACCAAATGCTGACCTGGGAATTTACCATCCAAGGGACAAATTACTTCCAATGATAATGAATAGATCAATATCCTCCTGTCTTGTGAAGTCTATTTTGCCCCTTGGAGGCTCTTAATTCCCTTTTAATCTCCTTAAGTCCCATGAAGATTCACCCTAAGTGTAGCAGATATTTGCGTGGAATGTTTAATAACAGTAATTTTCTAGGAAACTAAAGACCCACAAACAAGAAATCAAAAAGTAAATTACAGAAATAAATTAAGCTTTGCTGACTATTCATATTATAATCAAATTCTATCCACGTATTGTATACACTGGTACTTAGAGCCCTGCCATTCTCCTTATTCTTTCTGCCTTTCCCCACATGCTGCTCTCATCTTGGGCTTGTGTACCTATCCTTCTTTATATGCTCACACTCCTGATCACCATCATCCTCCAGATTTCCAGATCTGATCCCTTCTTCTTGATTCCTTTCCAGTCTTTCAGCCCAAATCAGAAACAGGAAATCTGTCTTTTCTATCTCACTGCTCAGTCAGTTCGGACAATTTCTCTGATCTAATAACTTCTGTCTCTAACTGCCAAGGAGGAGGAAATGTGAAGTTAAATGGAAGGCTGGAAGATATCTGAACTGAAGTCCAGTTTCTTTTCTGCTTAGTGATCTCAGTGACTCTTTTTTGAGGCTTTAAGGAGGTGGCTGCCCATCATCTTCCTAATTAACACTCTGCTACTCTGGCTCTGTAGTCACACCCATCTAGGTTATTTTCTACTTTAAATGCTTGATCATTTTTAATAGGGGACAAATGATTATTTTTATCTGCCCCATGTTGACTCCTTTGTCAACTCAAAATAATGGCAACTTCACTGGATCGTTGTGGGAATAAATGGGGATATCCAAGAGTGATCAAATCAAGTAAATTAGCATATTCATCATCTCAAACAGTTATCACTTCTGTTCAGTGAAACATTGAAACATGTCAATTAAAATTAAAATACAAAAGAAAATGATATATTGTAGGTAAAATACTTAAAGTCTATCCTGTACAAGGGACCACAATGTGCCGCTATTGCTACTAACAATGAGGCAATGAGGACAGCAGCAGCAGAGGTCCTGTGAGACCTCTGGGAGGGTGGAAGAGATGGGCACATCTGGAGTGCCTTCTCATAGAGATAAACAGGAAGAATGGGCATTTCACAAATTGATCTAAGTAGCCACATGGTGAGAATGTCAGTTTGGTTCAGTGAAGTCCCAACATAGGCAGAAATAGGAATAACTTGTTTTTCTCTCCTCTGCATTCCTTTAATAATTTTTATGGGCCTAACTATGTGCTTTTCATTCTATTCAGTTAGTGCCAATTTGGGGGGAAAAAAAGTATAGGGTGGCATGGGAATTTCCACCTAAACAAACCATGATCTCCTTGGGCTTTAGTGGATGATGACCCTGAATAGCCACATTCGTATTCTGAAGTTCCCACAATTTCTGTATTTACTGTGCAACATCTGTATTCACCAGTGATAGTTCTCCTGATGTTCCACAACCCCTTATACTGTAGCACTGCTTGATTTCACCATCCAACTCCTACTGCTCCTGATGCTGTATTTTTATAATCATCCCCAAGGCCATGAGATATCTTCCACCCTTTCTCAGAAGAAGAGGGTCGATTTTGAGGGTTTTGTTTATTAACTTCAAAATCTAAAAAGACTTATAAATTAGGGTTAAGATCTCTGAGCTGTAATTAAAGTAGTGATAGAAAACACTGATACTTCAGATTGAAAGGAATCTTGAGGTTATCTGGTGAAATTCTAATTTCATTCTGTAATTTAATCCCTTCTCTGTTATGTCTGAAAACAATCTTTACTTGTGTAAACAACACACCCCTGGACATTAACATCCAGGGCTTCTTGAATAAGCCCTGTCTATCTGTAAAGGCATTCTGACTTGGAGACTCAAAGCATGAATATGAACAAGGTAGGTATTTTGACGAAAATAATAATGTCCTTTGGTGAAAATAACTTTTCCTTTCCTGACCCAGTTTCTGTGTCCTCCTCATACTTTTAATGTCTGCCTTCTCTTTTGCTTCTGGGGTTACCCCATTTTTTTTGCTATTTCCTCCCACTTTTATTTCCCCCAGGTCTCACATACTTGGTAGACTAGTTCCTCTTGCTGTGAATGACCCTTCTGTTTCTGAGAGCCAGCAGGATGCCTTAATAAGCCTTCCTTCTTCAGTCCTCAGAGACATGAGGCCCCACGATAAACACAGGATAGTGGCTACAATCTTGTCAATGCTAACATATGGGGACCTTTTCAAAGTCCTCTCTATACTACTTCAAGATTGCAGCCGGACATTACAATTTAGAAGCATAGAAGAAAGAATTCTTTGGAAATGCTCAAATATTTATTTCATCATTGTCTGAAATACATGATGTAATGCAACAGGAGATGAAATGCTGGCATACGGTCACAATATGACAACATCCACTAATAGTGACAATAATGTAATTTTGAATATGGTATATAGATAATAGCAGGGACTAATTAAGAATTTATACTGTGAGGAACATAGGTCTATTACTTAAGTACTGGAAATATCTTGTGTTCAGTTCTACATAATATTAATAATGGATAAAAATGAAACTCAATTATTTGATTTCCTTCCTCAAAATCATATAATAAGCAATAAAGCCAACATTATTATCCAATATCCTGATTCTCTAGTATGGTTCCTTTCTCTCTGTGATAGAGTTCTCAAAAAAGCAAATTTGAGCTGACTATATGACAGCTTTTGTTCAATGAATAAAAATCCTGTTTGTCAATAATATTGACTTCTAAATGCCTGTTGTCGGATTGAATCCTGCAATAGGTAGACTACTAACTGATAAAAATATCTATAGGATTTGGAATTTGAATTGTAATATCAGTCCCATTTAGTATAGGAACTATCTTAATATCTAAGCTTATTAATCTTCAGATGCTACTGTACTCCATGCACTCAACCAATAGCTGTTGTTTTTTTTGTTTTTTTTTCATAAACTCATGACCTCAGGAGAAGTTACACTTCTCATAAAGAAAATTTTGTTAATGACTAAAGAAATTCAATATCCACTAATAGTCTATGAAAATGAGATGCTATGCCTTATCATAAGAAAAACTTTCCCATCTCCATCTTTTTACCTCCCATTGTGAAACTACTACCAGATAAATGATTTGTTCTTATGTCATTCACTGGTACTGGATATCCTAAAAATTATCTTTGTACTTTAATTATTTTTATATTAATTTGAATAACATTGAAATTATCTAATTTTGCTATGATAAAAAATCCTTAATTTAAAAGATTATCATTATTCAATGCAAATATACTGCATTGTTTTATGTTTTATATATTTCTCAGATATGCAATGAGAGAGAAAAAGCAATTACAACCCCCTCAATTGCCAAATGCTCTGACAACCCAGATCATAAATGCAATCCCATATGTCCATTTAGATGAGGAGAACCTGATGGGCAAATACCCACCTTTAGAGTTACAAGTACAACATTACTTAGACCAACAAGAGTGAGAATGGGTACAAATGTTGACAGCCAAGGAGATGTCTGAAAAAACAGTAGAACTCATTTGTTCTCTATCACACAATCTCTTGGGAGCACCGCACATTCAAACTATAACACTCCACACATTTTAATTTTTTGATGTCCCCATTTACATCTTTCTATATTGCATATTTAATAACATTAATATAGTTGTTATTTGTATTTTTTGTTTTTTAGTCTTCATACTAAATATATGAATGGTTTATGAACCACATTCACTTTAGAGCATTCTGAAACTGCGTATTGCTCTTTTCAGTGAGTCTCTTACCATTCAATATATTCTTCTTACTCATTAACATGT